TGGTGCTGACTTGCTGTGTGAATAGAGACCAGGAAAGCTGAGTGTGTGATCGAACCTTTGCCCTCCAAAGACAAGCATCATTGCTTTTGTAAAAGGCGCGACTTGTGAAACGGACGAATGACAAACTGGTCCATTTAGTTCACACTCACACGCATTCACACTCGATTGCTCGCTCACACTCACCAGCTCACTCACTCCCACTCACTTCACTTACTCGAACTCACTCACTCACTCATTCACTCACCTCACTCATCTCTCATCTCACTGACTCCCTGACCTCACGCACTCACACGCACTCCTGTCAGGAGATGATCCAATGCATAGCAGCCAACATGCCGGAGAGGGCAGAGCTGTCGTTCGGGCTGTCCAGAGCTGTAAAGCTTTACAGGAGGCAAACGCGCCAGGGTCCCCCCACAGAGCAGCGGGTGGGTTCCAACTGCTGACCTGAGGGTTAGCAGTCTACTACCTTGTCCACCACGCCACCAAGGCTCCTTTCTCTTGAACTCTGAGGGGCTATTTGGTTTGCTCCTTGATTCTTAGGCCAGCTTTCTGAGTAGTGGAGATTCGCCCCATGTTTTGTCACTTCTTGTTAGCCTTAATTTCCCCAGCATTGTGCGTGGGGGGAGACAGAGTCAAAGAGCAAACCTCCAAGCACAAGAGTGGGCTACTCCTTGAGAAGTAGCTGTCGTGTGGTTGTTCTCTGGCCACAGCTCCTTCCAGGAGCTCCAATGGCAAGGCTCCCTGTTCGTTATTCTCAGGCAATGGAGTTGGGCCACCTGGTGACATGGGGCTTGGGGGCATGAGATTTGTTGGCTCTTTTGTACGTCCCCTGCACAGTAAAACAGCTCTGGGACATCACTGCCGACCAAGCCTGTTTTCTGCTGGGCCCAGGGTCCCCGTGTTGCACAACTGTGGGGACGTCACAGACGCAGAACATGAAGTACCATGTTCTGACTTTAGGGGCACTCACCGCCACCAAGTCCATGCTGACCCGTAGTGACCCCACGCGGGTTTCCCAGACTGTAAATATTTACCAGAGTAGAAAGTCCAGTCCTTCTCCCAGTCAGATGGCAGCCCGATATGTAACCACTACATCACCATGGCAGCATGGGTGGTGCGGAGAAGCATATCTCCCCTGAGCAACCGGGGTCTTGGGGAAGACTTACGGGGTACTGAGACCACAGTGCAGCAGAAGCAAAAAAAGCAATGGGAGCTCTAGTTCTTCAGACGCCAGTGTAAGACTTGTGAATCAGACGCAGCATGTGAATAAGGCCCTCGTGGGGTTCGTATGCCCTTTAGAGTGGGAGGAACGCTGTTGTAACTTCCCGCCAAGGGCTAAGTCTTCAGCCCACAGTGCAGGCACTACACTGCTTCCACAGGAGGTCTTCTCCCCCCTCCCCTGGCCTTAGGTGCCCAGGTCCCCACTCCTCCTTCTTGCAGAGCCGTGCTGTGCTTGCCTGGCACGGTGCGTGACCCGGGGCAGCCTCCAACTGAAGGATGGTCCAGTCGGTGACCAAATAATCACACGATGGACAGGACAGACAGGACGTCTCCAGGTTTTCAGAAGATGGGATGTTTATTGTCACGAGTTCTTAGACAAGTTCTGCAAGGTAAGCACAAGACACACAGGCTCTTCTGATGGCATAGGTTTTAAACGGCAACCTTGACTGGCATTTAGGATTTCCAGAGCTCACTGGGTGGATCAGGCACTTTTGGACCCAGAGGGACATAGGAGAACTGAGGCTGCGCAGGGGTCACTTGGCCTTGAGGGGTGAGGTAGGGAAGAGCAGTGTAGACACAGAACAAGGCCGAGAACTCAGCCCACCCGCCTTTCAGAAGATGCCTGTCCAGTACTTGGCCAGCCCTCTGCTTCACCTGCGGATCCTTTCGGCCACTCCCCTCAGGCACTTACTGAGCACCTTCAGTACGAGGTGGGCAGGGAAGGAAGTTACTGTCCTTTGCATCAGTGGCTTTGGTACCAGCAAAACTCTCCTCTGGCCTCAGGGCTCCCTGGGTGGCAGAGATGGGTATGTGTTTAGCTTCAAGCCAAGAGCCCCTTCCCAGAGGCACCTGGTGATCTGCTTCCAAAATGTCAGCGTTGTGAAGCCTTACGGAGCAGCATTCCTCTGCTCCCACAATGTCCCGAGAGGGCAGAATTGGCTCTCTAGGAACCCAATGCTCTGGGACCTGCCAGCCTGGGGAAGAAGGGGATCCAGTTCTGACTGGGTGGAGGCCCTTTGGTAGGTTTCACATGATCACCAGCAGGACATTGATGGGTGCTTGCGTCACCAAGCACATGCTACAGTCCCTATTCTGCCTGCCCCTTTTCAGTGGCCTCTGTGGCCGTGGCTGCTGCTCCATCCGGGCCAATCTATGAGACACGCGACGTCCACGTGGCCTGGGAGCAGCAGATGGAAGACACTCGCAGGAAGCACTCTCCGTGTCCTGCGTGCCCACCACCAGTCACTGGCCTAATGAGGCGTTCTTGTACTTGACTGGTTCTCTCTCTTTCCACGGAACGATCCTGATGGATCGAGACAGGAGCTCAGGGAGCCTCCCTGGAGAGGCAGCAGCCTCCTCCCCTTACAGTCCATCTGCCCAGCCTTTAGCCACCCCCCTCCCCGGCAGCTCCGGTGTCAGGGGCCTCCTCAGCCAGGAAACCGAAGCAACAGGGCTGTGACCCACAGCCCTTGTGCAGAGTAGAGGCTAATGTGTTAGACGTCATACCTCTTTATGTTCAACGATAAATGCCTTTTAGGGGAGGGGAAGGGGTGGGACCGACAGGGAATAGGTGAGACAGATGACCTTGGTCCTGCAGGGGGCGAGTGGCTATCTGTGAACAGCTGTCTGGTGTGCAGTGAGGGGGAGTGAGGAGTGGGGACCCAGAGCCCATCTGGGGGAAATTGGACATCCCCTTGCAGAAGGGCTTCGGGGAGGAGATGAGCCAGTCAGGGTGCAGTGTAGCAATGATGAAAGATACGATTTTCCTCTAGTTCTTGATTGCTTCCTCCCCCGCACTATCATGATCCCAATTCTACCTTACAAATCCGGCTGGAGCGGAGGATGTACACTGGCACCGACAGGAACTGGAAACACGGGGAATTCAGGACAGATGAAGCCCCTAGGACCAGTGGTGAGAGTGGCGATACCGGGAGGGTGGAGGGAAGGTGAGGGAGAAAGGGGGAACAGATGACAAGGATCTACATATACCCTCCTCCCTGGAGGACGGACAGCAGAGAAGTGGGTGAAGGGAGACGTCGGATGGTATAAGATATGACAAAATAATAATAATTTATAAATTATCAAGGGTTCATGGAGGGGGGGCAGTGGGGAGGGAGGGGAAAATGAGGAGCTGATACCAAGGGCTCAAGTAGAAAGCAAATGTTGTGAGAAAGATGATGGCAACGTATGTACAAATGTGCTTGACACAATGGATGGATGGATGGATTGTGATCAGAGTTGTACGAGCCCCTAATAAAATGATTAAAAAAAAAAGCAGGTTCAGTATGAACCAGGGGCTGAATGGAAGACAAGGGCCTGAGCCCTGGCCACGGCCTGGCCTTCCGTGCTTTGGAGAGAGCGCTTCACTGCAGTATAACAGCGGGGTCTCGGGGAGGAGACGAGCCAGTCAGGGGGCGATGTAACAACGATGAGAAATACAACCTTCCTCTAGTTCCTAAAGGTTTCCTCCCCGCTCCCACTACCAGGACTCGAATTCTATCTTGCAAGACTGGCTAGACCAGAGGAGGTACACTGGTACAGATAGGAACTGAAAATACAGGGAATCCAGGACGGATGAGCCCTATAGGACCAGTGGTGTGAGTGGCAAAACAGGGAGGGTAAAGGGAGAATGGGTAGGAAAGAGGGAACCGATTACATGGAACTGTGACCTCCTCCCTGGGGGACAGGCGACCGAAAAGTGGATGAAGGGAGACGTCGGACAGGGCAAGATATGACAAAATACCCATTTATAAACTATCAAGGGCTCATGCGGGAGGGGGGAGCGGGGAGGGAGGGGAAAAATGAGGACCTAATGTCGGGGGTTTAAATGGAGAGAAAATGTTTTGAGAAACGATGTACAAATGCGCTTTACACAATTGACGTGTGTATGGATTGGGATAACAGTTGTATGAGCCCCTAATAAAATGTTAAAAAAGACAAAGAAAAAAAAAAGAAAAGAAAAGACCCTCCCCGCTGTTGTGAAATAGACTGACCCCTCCAGTTGGAGGAACTTGGGGCTCCTGTGGTGTTCTGGGGACCCAGAGGCAGGTTCTTTGCTCAACAGCAGCAGAGGCTATTTTAAGAGATCCTCAGGATGGATTTCACGAAGACAATCCTTCAGCGCCTCCCCTCCCTAAGCCCCTCAACAAGGGCCCCACTGGAAGCTGTGTGGACTCTTTGTGGGCCTCCCTTTCCAGCTCCCTAGGCTGGGATCTGGGCTGGGCCTGCTGGGGAGAGGCTCCCACGAATCATCTAAAAGGCGAGAAGGCACAGCGGCTTTAAGAAGGGTCATGGCCGGCTTAGAGGAGGGAAGGAAAAGCCACTTGACAGACCTCATTAGTGGCTCCGGTAAGAAGGTGATTTCACACTCTAACAGGAGGGCCAATTTGCAGCTGATGCGCCTACTTCCGACTTTCGGGAACAAACCTTTCCAGTTCACCAAGAAGAAAGGGGGGGAGCACTGTCAGCCACAGAACCCCAAGCCCCCTCTTCAGCCAGCAAAGGGCAGAACTCCCACTGGCCTGCCCGAGACACAGGGCCTTACCCCACCTCGGGGCTGCCCAGGGGGGATGGCACCCATAGCCAGTGCCCTTGTGAGGAAACTCACCGTCAGGTCACTGCATCTCCCCAACCCTGGGTGGTTGAGTCGGTGCCAGGCAGAACTGGGCTCTTCCAGGCCATGCTAGCGCCTAGCTCTGCAGGAGTCTGGGGTAAGCGGTGAAGTGGGCATGGAGGGCAGCCCAAGTGGATAAAACCAACAAAGGGATAGGCTCTCCTTGCCTCTTTTGAACAAAAACGATGTATTTGCCAATGCCATGATCATGTTCAGATGGTCTCCTAACACCTGGCCCTTGCTTTTCAGTCTACCAACTGAGAAATCTCAGGGACTAAATTTTTTTGTAAATTATGATCACAAGCCTCACTTAAACATATATGAAATACATGTACATATATATCAGACACCTATGCATGTCATTCTGAATATTACTGCATAAAATACTTTTCCAGAAGTTCGGACTTCAGACCCTAGACTGGGCACAATGACACTATCCCGCACAATCAGGAAAAGCAGCCCAGATGCCCGTGGGACACCACTCAGACAGCTGCTGGTTCCCAGAAGGTGCAGGCCCCTCATACTTGGCTTGTTTTCTGGGCCTGGGTGTGGTCAGCAGGCAGCACGAACTGAATGGTGTCCTTCTCCCAGCCCCTCCGGATCTTGGTGAGCCTGCGGCTGAAGCAGGGCAGGAGAAGCAGGCCTCTGGCCAGGATGACCACACAGGGAACCAGCAACGTGAGCGTGAAGGTGGGTGGCAGGTAGAACTTGTAGCGGCTCTCCTGGAACGCGCGGGTCCAGCCATAGGTGAGCGTGTGCAGCGTGCTCAGCACGAGGGCCACCAAGCCCAGACCGGACTGTGGAAGGGAAAGAGGGCTTTGACTCAGGCTGAACACAAGTCCAGTGTGGTGAGAGGCAAGGGGACCCCACTGTGGCTCAACTGTGTTCCTGGCTGAGGGGAAGGGCAGTGGGTTGGGAGCTAGGGCTCTAGGTCCCAGTCCCAGCCCCCTAACTCCGAGCCTCACTTTCCTCAACATGTAATGCTTCTTCTACCCGGACAATGTGTTCGGATTGATGTAGCTTAGTCTATCAGATACAGTGCCTAAAGCTTGTTGCCCGTAACCCTGGTGGTGAGCGGGGACTTCGGCTGGTACTCCGTTCTCCTGGACTACAGAGGAGGCGCTCCTGGTTCGGCTGATGGTGCCTGCACCGGCTGACTCTAACTCTGGACAGTGCCCCATTCACTCGCTCCGTGAGGAAACTTGGAGAGTGTGAGGGAAGCACATGGACAGGGACCCAGCATCCCTCACTCCTGCAGGTGAGCAAAGGGTGTGAGGCCTGTTTCCAGGGGCAGGGAGTGGAGCACAGACAGTTTTGTAAGCAGTGAGGGGCGACAGAGATTTGGGTCAGGCGAGCCGCATGTTTTAGTCTACATCCCCAAACCCAGCGTTGTTGGCTTGATTCAGACTCATGAGATCCGGTATGCTTATTAGATCCGAAATAAAAAGAACAGGGACCCATCAGCCAAGTTAGACACATGCCTTTTCTGCAAGGAATATTGCAGGGGCTTGATTTCAATGCGGCAGTATGCTCAGTGTTCGGTGTTGATTGGGCCTGGGCTTTCCACAGAGAGGCTGCGTTCGCGCCTCCTGGATTTCCTCTGAGCCCAGCTTGTCAGCCCTGATCCAGGGGCTTGTCTACGGGCCGGGCTGCCTCACATTGTATTCTAAGTGGGGCTGTTCCTGCTTCCTTCCGGGCCCCACTCTCAGCTTCCCCCTGATCCCCGGGAACTTCTCAGTACCAATCCCAGTAGGACAAGCCTGTTGCTCAACTCCATGGGTCTGAACACTTGCTTTGAGTGATTTTCTGGGGGGAAAAATCAATGTTTTCCAATGGATAGGGTCCATAATCTGTTGCTGTGGGGTCTATTCCAATACGTAGGAAGCACTTGGCCATTAACCAGTAGCACCTGGGAAAGGTCTGGTGGTCTACTCCTGAAACGTCAGCTACCGAAAATTCTATGAGCTCAGTTCTAATTTGACCCACCTGGATTCGTGGAAGTGGTTTTTGTTTTTCAATGCACTTAACTTTGCAGACAGGTCCCAGGCACAACATTTTTGACCACAAGGAAAAAACTTGCTGTTGAACGATCCCGGATCTCTAGCCTCCCTAACCATCCTCTCTAGCCTCCCTAACCAACTTCAAGGCTCTACGTATGTATCCCATCTATAACCACTGAGAGACTCGATACACTCACTCAGGAAAGACCACCGATGGCACTCTTCTCTCCCCTCCAGTTAACTCATGCCACCTCAGAGTGGCCAGCCTTAAACGGACGACTCCTGGCCACGTGCAACCAAACCCTGGTCCGCTACGGAAATGGCTATCAATTCCAAATATCGTAGCACCAACCTCTGCACCATACCAACTTTTTCTACGTTCAAATCTATTGGTATTGAAGCCTGGGGCTGAAAAGGGTCCCCCCACTGACCATCCAGAGTAAGTCTTGAACAGCCTGTCAGTCATGCTGACATTCCCCAACTGGAAGCCTTGACCATGATCCACTGCCCTGGCCCCAACTCAGTGGTTCTGGACTTGGCTGCAGTGCGTGGGAAGTCTGTGAGTCCGACACTGGGGTTTCCAAACCTGGATACATGCTAAACATCCTTTGCGGAGCTTGGGAATCATCCAGACCCAGTCCCAGCGATTTTGATTAAATTCGTTTGGGTGGGGTGCAGGCACTCGTTTATATACTCAGCATATATTCTGATGTGCAGTCGGGGTTGTGTGGTTGTCGTTGGGTTATGCCAACTCATAGCGACCCTGTGTCCAATAGAACAAACACTCCGGTCCTGTCCCATCCTCCCAATGGTGGTTTTCTTTAAGCCCATCATCGAAGCTGCATGCCAATCCATCTGGCTTTCAGTGACTAATTTTCAGGAGTGTACTGCCTCTCTTCCTTCTTCCTAATCTGTCTTAGTCTGGAAGCTCCACTGAAATCTGTTCATTTGGTATGTGAAATACTGGTGGCATCGCTCCAGCATCAGACAAGCCACCACAAGAGGACAAGCTGTATCATATTGTGGTGGTCAGGGCTGGGAGCCACGCATTTAGGAATTTCTGATCACCCAAGGCCTTCTGGCGTCCGTCGAGAAGTCTAGATCGGCCCCAGTGCCCAAGGGTGAGAGGGAACTAGACCTATCTGTTCCTTGGACAAAATGACTAGGTCACTCTGTGCGCAGGGTGCTGTATCATGGGGGTCTCTCAGAGGAAGCAGCAGTAAGATCCCTGCCCCGCACCCCACGCTCAGTGACCTGGAGTTCCCAATGGTAGATTCTACTAGGCCACCATGGGGACACATGTGACCATGTTGCTCCTGGGCCTTCCTTCATAAATTACGGTCCCTCTGCCATCCAAAGTCCCACACTGACAAGTGCCAGGGTCCCCAGCCTCAGGCCAATGGTTCAGAGGGAAGCTGAGAGCCAACACCCAACCAGGAACACAGGGCTTTTTGACATCCAGTCCCAGCCGGAAGCCAGGATGACTCCAGCTAGTTTATTTCCTTGAGGCTTTCTCCTGGGGAACAATAGTAAGATTCCAGAACAACTCGAGGAGACCCAAAGCAGGGAGGGGTTGATGACAGCCCTCCCACCCTCCTGCCCCCCACCCCCAGCCGCAAACCAGGACCATTTTTATTAGCTTGTTAGTAAACGAGAAAATAGCCAGGTCGTGGCTGTCTGCCGCCGATGCTCAATTCCTATGGTGTGAAGGGGCTTTAGACCGAATCACTCAGGAAGCAGACTCTCTGCCATTAGTCAAGGTTACAGGAAGTTCCTTGCGTTTCCAGGCAAAACTTAGGTACTGGATACCGAACCCTGATTTCTCCGTCCAACTCAAGTGGACCAGCCTAGGTGCTTTGCAATCAAATGGTGTTGAGTTAGCTTCATTAAAAGACCCAGCAGAGCCCTAACCAATCACCCAAACAAACAGAAATCATTTATAAAACCATTGAAGGCAGCACTGGGCAGCCAAAGGTAAATGAACTCTGAGTGGGAGCAACCTGCTGTCTCAATCGTTTTTAGTTAAGCCATTGAAGACCTATGGACATTGAAGACTGATTGGCAACGGACAGCTCCACTTCCTGCGGCCTCTGTATGCCCGGCGTCTGCGCTGGTTGTGGATGCAGGGACAGAAATAGGCCCACGTAGCTATGTGCCAATAGTGCTAATGTTACAGAAGGCTTCAGTTGACCTTGGAAGTCTGTAGTCTCTGGAATCCCCTAATCAGTCTGGGAGGTAGACACAGACATTGGTGAGGAAGGGGAGCCCCAAGAGGCTAAGAAGCCTAACCACTCAGGGCTGCTCGGTGATGGGCATGGGATTGAACCCAGGTCTGCTGACTCCACGTGGGACTGCCACATTCTCTAGTCCGTGCACTTATGTCCGAGCCACTGGGAGACAAGGAGTGCACTTTCCAAGGACCCTTCCTCGGTGTCCTCAAACGTTTCCGATAGCGGCTCCCAGAAGGAATCACATTTTACAAGACTGCCACCACACAACCATGTGTACACATATGTCTATCAACACCCGAAAATACCTGTCCTTCAGTCATATAGAGCACTGGGCTGTTGTCTTTGGTGTTCGCTTTCATTTTAAAAGTCTGTTTGTGACCCACTAACTTGACCTAGGGACCCACGAGGACTGTAGGAGGCACAGACAGTTTGTCCTTGACTGTGAACCTGAAGGTTGGCAGTTTGAACCCACCCATAGGTTCTGTGGAAGAAAGGCCTGTCCATCTGCTTCCCTATAAGATCACAGCCAAGAAAATCCTACGGGGCATTTCTACTTCCTAGCACGTGGAACCTCAGTGTGTTGAATAGATTCAATGGCAACGGTTTGTTTTAGTGGAATGACTTTCAACTCGTCTGAAAACTCTGAACTGGACTGTTCTGATGCCCAGGGTTGGAGTCTCTGAAGAGGCGTTGTAGCTGGTTTTCCACACGCAGCCTCTCATCATGAGTCACGAATCCCGCAGAGCATTAGCACCCTGGTACAAGTGTGGAGAAGCAGGAAGATAGTGTGGTGTGCCCACGGGCCACTGGAAGTTGATGTGATCTGCCCATGGTGATAGCGCTGGGAGGTGCGGAGACAGGGCTGGGCACCGGGCATCCCAGGTACGACTGGGAAGCCAAACACCTTGCTTTTTGTGGGTGGAACATGGGCACCTGATTTCCACAAGTGAAATCCAGCCTCTTGGCCTATCTCTCAGCACTATGACATCCTCCCCAGCCCCC